ACCGTCGCGGCAAAAATCGCCGGGAGCGCGGCAACATTGTCTTTGGAGGAGCCTGACTTTTAGGGTTCAGGGTTTAGGGTATAGGGTTTATAGGGTTTATAGGGTTTTATAGGGTTTTATAGGGGTTATAGGGTTTATAGGGTTTATAGGGTTCATAGGGTTTTATAGGATTTATAGGGTTTATAGGGTTTATAGTTTAAGGTTTAAGGTTTCAAGTTTAGGGATTCAACTAAAACCAGAAGCAAGCCCGCAGATCCAGCTTCACTGTGAGCACCCACATGCAAAACGACAACTTGCTGCTGAGCACTCAATGTAGGAGTCCTTAAACAGGGATTTTAATGGGGGCACTATAATCCGTATAGGGTTTAGGGTTTAGGGTTTAGGGTTTAGGGTTTCGGGTTTCGGGTTTCGGGTTTCGGGTTTCGGGTTTCGAAAGCCCATCACCCTAGGACCGCCCTGAGACCCTCAACCATACATCCTAGACCCTACACGCTAAACCCCAAACCCCAAACCCCAAACCCCAAACTAAGTGAGGGGTCGCTTCCGTCGGCCGAGGGCCTTACAGCCCGAGCGCCCAAGCGAAAAGAGAAACGGAAAGGTGAGGGTTAAGCCTCACCGTCTGTCCTGGACAGGCCAACGGACATCGGCCTTTTTTACGACAACGTCAGTACTCGGCTAAGGGATGGCCGGCACCCAGACCACCTTTAGCGGTTTTGGGTTCAGGGTTCCAGGGGGCCCCTGGTGGCTGGATTCCTGGACCAGGGAGGCTGGCGAGGGGGTCCAGGCAGGCTGGTTGGTCAATTTCGTGATTTTGGGTTTTTCACGGATTTTCGAGCCCCCCACCCCTCCGCCCTGAGGCCGGGACCTCTGGGGGCCTCTCCTGGGGCCTCCGCCGAGGCCCCCGCCAAAAAGCTCGAACCAAGGGGGTACTTCAAAAGAGGGGGGGGACCCAGGATTTGCCCGTACAAAGGGTTTCCCTGACCTTCAAATAAATAAGGGCCTCTACAGGCCTGCGAAAAGGGCCGAGGCTACCCCCAACCCCAGCTTAAACCCTAACACCGCAACTTTAAAAACATCAAAGCAAGCTTGCAAACCAAACTCCCGCCGCGACTTGAGAAGGGGAATCCAGGAGCCGGAACAAAGGGTTTCCCTGACCTTCAAATAAAAAGGGCCTCTACGGGCCCTGACGCGCCGAAGGCCCGAAAAGGGCCGAGGCTACCCCCAACCCCAACTTAAACCCTAACACCGCAACTTTAAAAACATCAAAGCAAGCTTGCAAACCAAACTCCCGCGACTTGAGAAGGGGAATCCAGGAGCCGGCACAAAGGGTTTCCCTGACCTTCAAATAAAAAAGGGCCTCTACGGCTACGGGCCCTGACACGCCGAAGGCCCGAAAAGGGCCGAGGCTACCCCCAACCCCAGCTTAAACCCTAACACCGCAACTTTAAAAACATAAAAGCAAGCATCGGGGCACAAGAAAATAAATTCCATAAATCCAAAACCCTAATAGAGTATAGTGTGGGTGGCCGGGGTGGGTTGACGGGCAACGCGAGCGCGCGGCCCGGGGTGTTTCACACCCGAGCGCGTGCCCTCCCCTAAACCCTAAATGCAGCTAGGGCACCGGTCAGAAATGACTCCAGGCTGAGTGGCGGGGCATCGGGGGATCCAGACCTGGACCAAGTCTTGCTAGGGTTAGGGTTTAGGGTTTAGGGTTAGGGTTTAGGGTTTAGGGTTTAGGGTTTAGGGTTTAGGGTTCAGGGTTCAGGGTTCAGGGTTCAGGGTTCAGGGTTCAGGGTTCAGGGATCAGGGTTCAGGGTTCAGGGTTCAGGGTTTAGGGTTTAGGGTTTAGGGTTTAGGGTTAGGGTTGGGGTTCAGGGTTCAGGGTTCAGGGTTCAGGGTTCAGGGTCTAGGGTCTAGGGTCTAGGGTCTAGGGTCTAGGGTCTAGGGTTTAGGTTTTAGGGTTTAGGGTTTAGGGTTTAGGTTTTAGGGTTTAGGGTTTAGGGTTTAGGGGGTTTAGGGGGTTTAGGGTTTCGGGCTTAGGGCTTGAGATCTTAAGGGGGGGAAGGGCGAGTTTTTGGTGGTCGCTTTGAAAATTTGGAAGAGCGTTTTAGCTGTTACGCGTTTAAGAGCTGGGAGCAGCAGATCTGATCATGGAGCTGTTGACCTTTCATCGGCTTTCTCAAAGCTGGGCTGGGTCTCACCCTAAACCCTGAACCCTGAACCCTAAACCCTAAACCCTAAACCCTAAACCCAAGGACCCGCATCAGCATCCGAGTGGGCCACGCCCTGATCCCGCGCCTGCGCCAAACACCTGCATTCGATCTGGTCCAGACCAGCTGGCTACAGATCGTGCTTGTGGAGCCTGTGCGTTCATCCTTCTAGGGGACCTGGGGAGAGGAGGTATGCAGCTACACGCGCGGGTAAAAGGGCTCCTTGTGAGCGGTCGCGGAGTAGCGAAGACGGCCCTGAAATTCCTCTGACAGAATATTCCGAAAGGTACGGTCCTCGTAACCCCCACGTAGGGAAAAAATCCCGAGGGCCTACGTAGGTGAGCAATTTACGTGAGAAGAGGCCACCAGGGTTTAGGGTTTGGGGTGTAGGGTTTAGGGTTTAGGGTTTGGGGTTTGATCCGAGACTCCTCAGGCCGAGGATGCTATGTTTCTGCTGCGGATCAAGGATAGGAGGTTGCAAGCCATGTATGAAACCCCAGACGGCTTCTCCTCCTATTTAACCCAATAAGGTTTCATTTTTTTTGGGGGGGGGGGGGGGGGGGGGGGGGGATCCTGTAGCCCTAATTCTTCCCAGTTCCATACTAGGAACCGGGGGTTTTACAGGGATCCTGTTGCCCTATTTTCTTCCCAATTCCATACTAGGAACCAGCAAGCAGAAGGGCTTATGCAGAACACCTCAGATCTGGCCGCCTCTCTCGGAGAATTGCGCAGTAGAGCAATGCCTCAAGCCAAGCCCTAAACCCTAAACCCTAAGCCCTAATTCCTAAACCCTAAACCTTAAACCGTGAACCCTGAACCCTGAACCCTAAACCCTAGTCTATCTTCGCCTTTTGCGCTTCAGGCTGCGATGTTCGTCGCAGGCTCAGGCGTTTTGGGATTTGCGGGGTTTGGATCCTGGGGGGCGGGTGAGGTTTGATCCTCTAAAGCCTGAACTCTAAACCCTAGGATTTGGAGGGCGTAGGGTTGAGAATTTTGGGGGCTGAGGATTTACATAGTGGGATAGAAAGATGGCACGTGTTCCGACGCCAAACCCGAAAACCTAAACACCAGTCCAGTTGAAAACGAGCCCACCTTGAAGAAATACTGCCAATGCACTTTAGCATTGCTATGCTTGCTTCATTCTTTCCAGTATATTTAGCTCAATTTGTCAAGCGTGTGCTCCACAACTCACGCAGCCTCACAACAGCTAGAAGGGTTTAGGGGTTAGGGTTCAAATCTAAACACGTGTACCCTAAACCCTAAGCTAAAAACTAAACCCTAGACTTTTCATCTTAAACTCTTCATCCTAAACCCCAAACCCTATAAACCCTATAAACCCTATAAACCCTATAAACCCTATAAACCCTATAAACCCTATAAACCCTATAAACCCTATAAACCCTATAAACCCTATAAACCCTATAAACCCTATAGACCCTATAAACCCTATAAACCCTATAAACCCTATAAACCCTATAACCCCTATACACCCTAAACCCTAAACCCTAAACCCATGAAGACCTGCAACTCACCAGAGCCACTATCCGAGGGCCTCCGAGGCGGAGGTGAAGACCCGCAGGCCGGCCTGGCTAGGAATGGGTTTAGGGTTTAGGGCTAGGGTTTAGGGTTTAGGGTGTAGGGTTTAGGGTTTGGGGTTTGGGGTTTGGGCTTTGGGCTTTGGGGTTTAGGGTTTAAGGTTTAGGGTCCAGCTGCTAGAGTCTGCGGGCTAGGGGTGTTTGGGGTTGTGGTCTTGGGGCTCTGGACTTCTGCGTTTGGGTTCAGGGCTTTGGGCTGTTTCGGGTATGGGTTTGGGCTTGTAGGGTGCAGGGCTTGGGGGCTTTCCAAATGCCAACTGCCTTTGATGGCCTCAAGTTATCAGAGCTTGTACATGGACACCTCGGGAGCTCTGATAAAGGCAGTGCAGGGTTCGGGATCGTTTTGGACTGTAGGGTTTGGAGGTCTTGATGGAACGCCCCCCCACCCCCACCCCGGCCCACACCCCCAAAGAGGCCTCTAAACCCTAAACCCTAAACCCTACACCCTACACCCTACACCCTAAACCCTAGACCCTAAACCCTAAACCCTAAACCCTAAACCCTGATTCAGAACGGATCGGATCATTCAGCTGATCAGCCTCCCGGCAGCCCGCCTTCGCCCAGGCCAAGGCCATCAGAGCTGCCAGCACGGCCACGAGCGTTCCACTCTCGACCTGCGGTTTAAGGCTTAGGGTTTAGGGTTTAGGGTTTAGGGTTTAGGGTTTGGGGTTTGGGGTTTGGGGTTTGGGGTTTGGGGTTTGGGGTTTGGGGTTTGGGGTTTGGGGTTTGGGGTTTGGGGTGTAGGGCTAAGGGTTTAGGGTTTGGAGTTTAGGGTTTCGGGTTTGGGGTTTAGGGTTTCGGTTGTAGGGTTTGGGGTTTTGAGTCTAGGGATTCTGGTTTTCGGGTTGAGGGTTCGGTTCTGGTCCCCTGCAAACCCTACTTGAAGGCAATGGAAAGGCACTGAGTCCCAACGCCCTAAAAGCCTTGAAGGCAACTGAAAGGCACTGAATAACTAACGCATCTGAAACTTTGAAGGACGTCGAACTCGGAAGGTTCGGGCAATTCATACTTCTCTATCTTTAGGCCCTAAGCCCTAAACCTTAAACCTTAAACCCTAAACCCTAAACCCTAAACCCTAAACCCCAATTAAACTTCGGGTCTTCCGGAGACGTTGAAGGCTTGAGGCTTCGGGCCTCTGCATGGGGACAGCTCAGCGAAACGCCTCTCCTGAATGCAGTTCGACTGAGGCCCCGTCGTAGGCATTGGCGTCGCCTTGGCTGCGAAGGCAAGAAACCCTAAACCCTAACCTTAAACCCTAAACCCTAAACCCTGAACCCTAAACCCTAAACCCTAAACCCTAAACCCTAAACCCTAAACCCTAAACCCTAAACCCGTCACTTGCGGCTCATGCATCAAGCCGGGAGATGCATTCAGAAGACTTGAGTGCTACTCCTCGGTCGCCTACTATTTGCTCAAGAACCCCCACCACACAAAAACATATTCTTATCAGGGCAACATAGGGATCGATATCTTCTGTTTTTTTGGGGGATCTTAAGAACAAATTGTAGCTTGACATACGCCTTTGTGGGCACTTCGGCTTCAAGCGTACCTGCCATGCCTGCAGCACAGTCGTTTACTGTAAGTCAGCACCCAAACCCTAAACTCTGAGTGCCAAACCCTAGACCGCAGGTAACCCTGCGTCAGACAAAGTCTGCGTCTTGGCCCAAAACACGAATCTTTGCCAGAACCCCCAACTAGCCTGAGAGCGCTGTACTACCTCTACACTGGAGGGTTTAGGGTTTAGGGTTTAAGGTTTAGGGTTTGGGGGTATAGAAGGCCCTTACTATTGCCAGGCTTGGGTGTGTCAGTGTAGGTGACGCAGAAGCGTCCAAGGCGCTGTGCTGCTGGCCCTCGAGCCGGTACACCACCACCACCTCAATGTGACTCGGGTTTAGGGTCGAGTTTAGGGTTTAGGGTTTAGGGTTTAGGGACTCGGGTCTCCAGGAGTCAGGGTTCAGGCCTTAGGGTGTTCAGGGTTCAGGTTTTTTGGGCTTGGAGTCTCCACG